GTGTGTGTGTGTGTGTGTGTGTGTGAACAGAGTTGTTAGTCTTGTGTGTCACTGATGATCAGTTCAGGGTCTACCTCCCTTTTCACTCCACAGCTGATAAACTCCCATCAACCTGGAAAAACTGCAGCAGATTCAGAAAATGTCTAAGAATGTCAGTTTTTCATCTCTGGAGTTTCTCACGAAGCCAAAGAAGAAACTTTCTTTAGTATTTATCAGTCAGAAAACCAAGCAGAGAACTGTGGGGGCCTTTAATTTTCAGTGGTTTAATCACGTCTCTGACTAAAACAACTCTTTACACCAGGTTTGTCACCTTATTGTGGACATTCAGTAACATTTACAACCTTTTACAAACACCTTTTTCAACCATCCTGTTACAATATTTAATGACGACACATTCACATTATAACACAGTTATCACTGATGTCTTAAATCTGAACTCACAAAACCCACAACCCTTATTGTTGTCTTGTTGAACGTTTTTAGTTTTTATACCATTGCTATGTTATAAATTGGCCACCAGAGGTCCCCATATTTCTATTATTTTTTTTTATTATCACTGCACACAATTGTTACTTTATATGAATACGTTGGTTCTGTACTCTTTATTTAGTTTAATTGTGCATCTTTCACTGTCACCTGTCAACCAGCTAAGGTGGCAGCTGGGGTGGCCAATCAGGTCCCAGGGGAAAGTGTCACCCTAACCATCCCTCTGGCTCCGCCCCTGCTGGAAACAAGCAAAAACGTCTTCACACATGGATGTTGAATSGGGTGTTGTGGAGGTCACATTAGTTTGCTGAGGAGTGAAAGAATCAAAACTTAGTTTATGTCACAAACAACAAGTCTCATGATTCTGTCAGGTGTGTGGGATTGTAGGTGAAGCTGATAGTCTGGTAATGGTGCTGTACTGTGCAAAGTTTTCTTTATTTTTTCTATGAATAAGTGATTTAATAATTTCTTTATTTTTTAACAATCACCCTTTATTTTGATTAATAAATTCACATGTAAATGTAGAAATCTGTTTATGAAACTATTTAAATAACTTTTTGTAAGTCTCACATTTGATATCTTTTTCTTTGTTTTAAAGAAGCAGAACGTATTTAAAAATCCTGCAGCAGTCGCTATGAGACATTCATACAAAAAAATTACAAAACATTTTTGTATTTAAAGTATACTCGTGACATGCATATCCTTCAAATACGAAAACTCATAGAAAGCATATTTATACTTAAGAAACATGGCATGAGTAATGGGCATGGTTTTACCCATTTTGTCACATAACTGGCCTATTTTCTCTTGGATTTGGCTCAGCAGAAGTGGAACAGGAAGTGACATGAAAGGGGAACTCATTAACACAATTAACACTCTGGTCTTTGTTTATTAAAACAGTATCATTTAAACTTTAAATCTTCATCATCTGTGTTTGATAGTAGCTCAAAAAAATCTAAAGAAACATCAGATTCTTCTCTACAATCTGTGTTATCAGCTGTTGTAGCAATGCTCTGTTTATATTTGTTCTGCTTTGACATCACTTCCTGTTTCTTRACGTGCAAATGTCTCAACAACTGTTCATCTCAGAGGCGTAAAATTTGTTTTGCAATATGTTATCAATGCTTTCTTTGTAAAAATGCATTCATGTTTATTACAAAAATTTAATGTCACAGGCACTTTAAATCATACAGCCACTAGTTGCTGAATTTATCAGTGTGCATTGCCAATGCAATGCACACTATTGTGATTCGTTTCCCATCCAAGTCATCTCCACTTTGTCACGCTTCTCCTCCTGCGTACTTTGTCCTGGAGCTGCCATTTTAATTTATAWCTGTAAAGCTCCTGTGCCAAATGATGGCTATGCCTTTTGGTGCCTGTACAACTTATAGTTTTTGAAATATTAATGTTTAATAATTTATGATGAGAGTCAATGGAGCCTTGTATTGGTCCAGTACTGCCCCCTGCGGTATCTACTCAGTACTGAACCATAGTTTAATAATATTTAATCTCAATAGTTCAGTGGTTACAATATTAATATGATTGTATTTTGATGTTTTACTATAATGTTGTCCTAATATTGCTCTATTGCTGTAATATATTG